CCCCCCCAAAAAAAAACACCGTTACTTTTAGAACTTTATCCGTGTCGGTTTAAAACTTAGGGCAACAAACCTGTATCACACTAAGAACCGTAATGAAACAAGGATAAACGTAACATTTGCAAATCCATTTCACAAGAACCATAAACTGAGTTCTCTTTCAATTGAATCTGGACCAGATGTTTGCGTACTTCCTTATAATTTCCATTACGTCCTTGAAAAGGCAAATTCAAGAACCTGATAAGCTTCAGACTACAGAGCCTCTACCACCCCACGGTGAATTGCTTGTCCGAGTTAATGAAAAGAACGCAGTTGGAGGAAGAAAGAGCTCTAAACTCTAGAGAACTCTCGACTTTTATTTCAAGGTAGAAGAAAACGCCACCAAGAGTCTTACCATCATTACTTGCCAAAATAGTGTCTTCAGCAATCCTACGAAACAAGTTCATATTCATCCTAACCAACTCAAGTACTTAATGACTACATCTTTCAGAGTTGAGTAAAAAAACGAAATATTAATTTGAAGACATACAAGAGTTTGATCATTGTTGATGATATTAGAGTAAATCATTAACAGGGGCAGATCCCAGCCACATAGCAAAGCTACATCGATCACAGAGAAAACAACTGAATAGCATTGTAATAAACATATGAGATCGGACAGTGAATTGCTACACCACATCTTCACGTCACTAAATTCACAAACTTTCCCTATAAGATACAAGTGTTTACACTACGGAGATCAAAATTTGAAACTGCAACAAATCTAGCGTCCACGACCACGACCACGCCCACGGCCTCGTCCTCGTCCACGCCCCAAAGGCTTCCCTATAGTTGCAAAAGAATGGGGAAATACATAAGCAACATATTTGACACTGGGTGGCATACGATTCAGTATAAACAATTTGACTTTCAGAAAACACCATAAAGTACAGGCAAAATGCAAAGACAGCGCATACCTGCAGTTGGTTTCTTGGGCTTGACCCTGGGTGTCTCTTCAACAAGTAAAGTCTCAAGATTCAAGCTGTCAGGTAGAATATAATATCTGATGTTGTTTCCCCTCACACTTAAATGATCCATGGTAACTGGATTTTTCCCCTTTAGAGTAAGCTTTACAGCCTTCAAATGTGTATTCATGCTGATATCCACACCTAAGTGATACAAGAAAATCAGCCCGTCAATGACTTCTAACCTTGACCAATGCTTGGTTTTAAGCAAAAAGAGTAAGAGCTTCTACATCAAGTTCATGCCGTCATTGTTCTTTTTTAAAAAAAAAATAATAATAATACTCATCTGAGCATGTTTTAGAAATAAATTATAGAAAACAGGAACGTAGAGCGTAATTTAGATGCTTCAACATATTAGGCCAAACAAATTTCACAAGCTGTAAGTGCAAGATAGGTTTTTATTTTTCATTTTTTTTCATATCCATTCATTTCAGATCCAACCTGCGACAACTGACTGACCCTACTATATTCTGTTGCCAAGGTAAGTCATAGGATAATAAATCCTAAGTAGGTAACCAACATGGCTTGAATCCATTCTCTCCAAGTCATTTGTTATTTACATGACCCTTATTCAATTAGGCCAAGTCATAATGCACTGCAAGGTATGTTATTCAAGCATATTGTATATATTGACACTTATTTATAGTTTCAAGTGAAATCCTACAACAGAAGGTGTGACCAGCTAAAACTATGACATTGAGTAGAACTCTTCCATAAAAACAGTTGTAAGAAAAGACAACAATAATTAGTTTCAGAACCAGCAGCACATAGAAAAATACATCAAGTGGAAGCTGGATAGGAGGTGTCCACAACAAAATGCAATCTCATCATAATCACCAACTTTTTTTTTTTTTTTTTGGGGTGTGGGGATGGGGGATATAAGATACTTGATCGAAATGGAGTTGGACTTCCCTTCCATTGGGTCTTGGGGTTTGGCTCTTCTATAAGTAGAGAAATAGTGCCCTCCTTAAATGGTCACGGTGAGAGGTGATGGTCGGCATATGGGGTGGAACCACAAGAATTTGCTATGAAACCTAAACCAAAGGTTACATTGGAGGATAATTGTGGAGTGCTTGTTGGCTCTTTTAAATAGAGAAATTGGTAGTTGGATTGCCTTTGCAGAAAAGATCAATAGGGTTCAATTAGAAGCTGGCCAAGACAAAGTAGTAGGATCCATTGATTCATCCAACTGTATCTCCACTAAAACCACTTTCATTGAACTATCCAAAACCTGCTAAAGCTGAAAAGTCCTTTGGTTAAAATAAGTTATGAATCTCCCCAGGATAGACAGGATGTTTGTGCAGTCTCTTACTTACAGAAGCCTCAACACCCCAAGAGAAGCTAAAATAAAGTTCCCAAGTTGGGTTGTCACCCCCAGTTTGTAGCAATGTCGCCGAGAAACATCTACGTATTCCAAGGTTATCAAGAGCCAGAAGGCTTGTGGTATATCATAAACCACTCTAAATTGACAAAAGAATCCAAATTCCAATTATCACTTTGCACTGAGATATTCTACAACTTCCAATATAGTGGCGTACAAAGATGAAAACAGAATGGAAGTTAAAGTTTAAAAAACCTCTGCCAGTAAGTTCGTAAATCTAGGGTTTAAGGGTTTAACAAGATTAATGAAGTTTTTATGCAGTGCGAGTTAGTGAGTGAAAGAGAAATGGAAACCTGTGATGGTGCCATGGACAACGGTTCCATTTTTCAGCTCGATTGAAACTGTCTCATTGTTGAGCTTCATCAAAAACCTGTGAATTCATCAAAACCAAGTTTCTAAACATAAAACGACCACTAAATACATCAAACAACGAGTAGTTCGAGAAAAAAGAAGCTCAGAGTAAGAAAAAAGAAGAGCATACCTAACAAGCTTCATGATGGCGGGGGAATTGCAAAATGTAGGGTTTCAAGCACGGACAAACAAAGGAGGCGGGAGGGGAAATTTGTACAATTTCAAGTATGTGGTACGCCTGATAAGTAAATGGAGAAAATAAGTGGATATAAATGATAATATAAAGAATAAAAGGACGAAAAAGAAAATTACGTATAATAAATAAACAAATAAAGAAGTGGGGTGCTTGGTATGAGAAAATACTGCAGCTGGCGCGTACAGGTACAACCATTACCGTCGCTCCCTACACTCTCCGTCTCTGCTGCTCCGATTTTCCGCTCGTCTTTCCCTTCGTCCTCCTGGTTTCACCATTTTTATCAGTGAGCTTCCTTCCTTTTTGCCGTTCTCCATAGCTTCAAAACATTAACATTTTTCTCAGTACGTAACGTTAGCATTCTAGCAGGTACTAGAGGTACACGTCTTGTTTTGTAGTAACAATAAATCATAAGTTATTCCTTTTAAATAAAAAAACATCGATGATGAAGTTCGATTGGAACTTAGTCATATGTAGCTTGACTTTACATTTACAATGGCTTGCCGCTCCGACAGCATATTTCCCCCAGCTTTGTCGTGCTTCAATCAGACTAGCATTTTTTTTTTTCTCTCTGTTTATGTTCTCCGTTTTCCCTATCGAGACATTCGACAAAATAAAGTCCTGATGCTTTGTTTAATTTTGTTTCGCTTCAGTTCCAGATGAAGATCTGTTACTTAGAACCTGTCGCTCTTTCTGTACTATCATTATGTTTTTCCCTCTGGGCACTGTTTTTTTCTTTTTTTACTGACTTATTTTTCCATATAACGGTGTTTAACATCCTTCGCCATACATGTATTGGTATTCTGTCTGTTTTTCCTCTCGATCTTCTATTTTCTTAAGGCTTCTATGCTCCCTTATTGCTGTTTAGTGGTGCTTTTCGTTTCCCAGTAGCTTCTTTTACTTATTTATTGGTCCTGCCCTTTTTCTTCATGAAAACCCAGGAATGCTTTTCCTGTTTCGACAATTTGTTGTTTACAAAACATAGCTAGTACTTTTTAACATCGTATTTTCAAAAACAAATGGAAAATATGGGGAAATGCCCATTTCATGTGCTAGTAGGCGTTGGGTTTTCAAATGTCCCTTGGGTATGCTCAGGTAAATCGATATATTGGATGCCCCGGGAGAGATGTTCTAGGAATTTTCGATTTATGTTTCTGATTTTTTTTTAAGGAGTTATTTGGTAGGTGACTTAGAGTTACTCTCAAGAAATCTGTAATCGAGTACTAGTTCCCTCTCAATTGTTCTAACAACGGTGACTTCGGCCGATTCTTTCTTCCAGGTTCGTATTTGATTTTTGGGGTGATTTGACGCTTTGGAGCAGCTCTAGCTTATTCTAAGCAAATTTTAGCTTCCTCATAAGTTGTAGCAATGCTAAGAATAGCCAGTCATTTTTTAGTTCTTATCGTTAAGTGTTTCAGTTTGAGGACTGATTCCTTTTGAACTATTAAGGTTTAGAAAGTTGCAATGCAGGAAAAATGGAAGGACAAAATGGCTGCAATGGCTCTGTACAAATGCTCTCTCTGAATTTTGGTGCGAATGTCAACATTGTTTCCCAAGTACCTGGAGATTGTACTAACCACCACCATGTTTCGGCTGCTGATAGGAATCTAAACCAAACTAACTTCCCCCACATAATTGAGTGGACTCAAACTGCAAAAATGTCTCCGACCTTTGTTGAGTTTATTGCTGAAACTTCAAACTTTCCTAGAAAGGAATCTACCAAAGATATGATAGCAGTTGTTCCTGTCAGTTCCATTCAAACTATTGATGGAGTCTCTGAGATTCATGGAGAAATTTCATACAATCATCCCGCAGGTTCATACACTTCAAAACCTACTGATTCACGCAAGGTAAAGCCAATCTATACCAAGCCTAACATATGTGAAATAGTTATGGTCGTTACTGTGCTTTAGGCAATCTAGATCTTGTAAATATAAGGATATAGGCATATTCTCTGCTCTCAGTTTTGGGAACAATGTATATTAGCCATATTTATTGCTTAATCAACATTTATTACTAAATTACACCACTTTCTGGATCTTTTCATGTAATCCTAATATGTGACTTTCGGATCAGGACAATATGTCAGGTAGTCTATCCAAGCCACGTACCAGTTCATCAAGTAGACGAGGCTATTCAACTGACCGTGTAAGCGAAGCACCTTACCACTTGCAAAAATAAGAAATTAAATAAATAAAATCTATTACTATGCTTTACAAAAGAGCAGAAATGTGGTGGCATTAGTTTGAATTGTGAAATATACTCAAATTAGGTTATTTTGTCATCCAAAGTGAAGACAAAAATTAGTGGTGATTCCATATTTTATATTTAATAATCTATATGTTTACTTTTAACTAAGAACTAGCAAGATTGGATGTTATCTGTTGGGGCCAAATTTAACTTGTTTAACATGTCTTCTCATTTCAGCAACGCAGGATAAGGATAGCTGAAAGACTCGAAGCATTGCAGGCACTACTGCCTCTGGCTTCAAAGGTAAACTCGTGTGTCATTATGCCACAGAGAGGCATGAACTTTTATAAAATCTTCTAAGCACTAGATTGACTGATACCGTTCAATATATATCATTATAATAATGCATTGAGTAAGCGTGCTTGAGCCATTCTGCTGTCATAAATTTCCTGAATTTTATTGAGGATAAAACTATAAACGTACTTGAATGCATTATCTTTTGAACTTTCCATTTCTTTACCTGCAGCATAGGATAAATATCTTCTTTAAATCCATTTTAATTTTGGTTTCGCAAGGGAAATCAAGCATCTGCTCTAGATGATGTCATTGACCACATCAAGTACTTACAGCTTCAAATAAAGGTGGGCATCTTCGCCCTTGCTCTGTTTTGTACGTTTCTTTATAGGGTACTTTACAGTTTTGATCCATATGTGCTTGTAGCTTGTTGGCTTCATGGGTCTTCCTAACCACTGCTGGTGTTTTGCCGTCAATTGATTCCCACACTCGGGAAAAATGCTTTCGACGGCTTTCCGTCAATCTATACATAGCTCATTTCCTTCATAGTCTTAAACACACGAGATTTTGAGAGAGTTTTCAATCATTCTCTTTTAGTTAAAATATTTGATAAAGAAATTAATTTTGGTGGGTTTTAAATATTTGAGTGTATGAGGTACTTGGTGAGTTGAGTGTGCTCTTTTGTAATCTCATCTTTTGGAACATTAGTGGAAACATTCTCGTCATCTTTGCATGTGGATGTAGGCATAGTCTGAATGACACAAGTTCTTTTAATTTTTTTCTTCTCTCTTTTTACATTTGTTATTCAGATTATTTTCACTGTACATTTTAGCCTCTGCTCAGGTTTGAAGGGATGTTGGCGTGAGAGAGAGAGATCCATATGCTGGTAATGTAGATAAGAATTTGGCTCATCGAGCCCATACGCTGCTGATTATCTCAAATTGTATAAGCATTGATCCAAAATATTGGAGACTTGTAAAGAAATATAGTAAGCTAGTAGCAAAAACTTGGGCATGTTCTTGAGCAATAAGGGCCCATAGTCATAATGAATAAAATTGTTTCAATAAGCAGGCGACCTGCCAATACTTCGAAATATCTTAACGTACATTATGGTGTTATGGGTGAAGTTGCTTTAAAATGATTTTAAGGGTGTAGATGAAACTGAGGCATCTATGTGGCTGCGCAGGACTTGAGTCAGAGTAAAATAGGCGGAGAATCCTCTTCTGAGCCTTTCCTATTCGTTGAGGTATCATCACATGTTTGATTTTAGCATTTCACTACTTTCTTTTGGAAAGTTCATGCAATTCTCATGTACGGCTTTCTACTATTATTTCCATACTTAGAAATTTGGGGATGGAAAATAGAAGCTCCTTTATTATTGCTTTTGGTAGGGATATGGCCATTACATGAGCCATCACGAGATGCAGGGCGAGCCACTTGAAGAGATGGTAGGAAAATTGCTGGAAGTTGACCCGTTAGCTGCTGCTCAGCTGCTGGAGAACAAGGGTCTATTCGTGATGCCCATGGATTTTGTTGAAGGATTATGCTGAACCATTTAATCAACCATGGAGCTTCCTGTATGAAACAGTTCTCTCTCGGTTAATGCTTCTGCTTTATTAAAGTACCTACGGCTTGTCAATCACCTCACTTGAAAGTAAAGATACCTGGGTAACACTGAAAAATGATAGTTTTGTTTGTCCGTAGCATCATTCCATTTTGGGGAAAAAAAAATCTCACTACGTTTGACAATCATTCTTATTTTTCCTCATGATTTCTGGGTTTTGTTAAGCATTTTTAAAAATTTTGTCAAACATTTTATTAAAACTTCAAAGATTTATGATTGGGTGGTGAATCGATAGAAAGTTAAGTATGATATGTGACACCATTGTACTATTTAAAAAAATAGAAATAATAGAAATAGTAGCGAGGCAATAATTGGGGCATTGCCTTTTATCAGAATATATATTGAAGACGGGACGAAGGGACCAAACCCGACACTAACCTAAGTGTTACACACTGCCCTTATGCATCATTGTATTCGAGATTCAAATTGATGGCCATCTGAGTTGCAGTTTGATTTTGATTGCCACCTGCCAACAATACAATCAAATTAATCGAACATTTGCATTCAAACCAAATTGTAAATACTACTTCTAGAGATGTCTACCAAGACAGAGAAGCCTTTCTAATCCAGTCTACTATTTCAATTTTTCTATGTAAGGATTGGGTTTGCATGGGATTCCTCGCAGCATTGCTGTGAATCGTAATCCAACTTTCATAAGATTGTTCTGAGAGGATTTGGTTAAATGCTTGGGCACTCAATTGAAATGGAGCACGAGCTATCACTCTGTGACAAACCGATAACCAAACTGAGTTTGTCAATCGAGGTATGATAACTTATGTATGTTGCTTTGCTATGCAATGTCCCACCAGGAGGGTTACATGGGTATTGTGAACAGGGAAAATTATTGCGCTAAATCAAAATGAAGCTGACACCTCAATTTGTTGGACCCTTTAAAGTGCTCAAATGCGTTGGACCTAAGCTTATCGCATCCTGTGTTTCATGTCTCCCGACTAAAGAAGGCAATTGGGTACAACAGTCCGGTGGTCCAAATTCCCCCAATTTGCCTGAGAATACCGTTTAATAAACGATGCCAGGGGAGACCTTGATAGGAAGGTGTATGAGAGAAATCATGTAAGGCAAACGTGTGAGCAGAGTGATGGTAAGTAGTTATGAAGTGAAAGGGGAGGAGCTTTAAGGAATGTTTCGAGCCTGTTTTTGAGAGAGAGATTGGGAGAGAGGAATTCTTTCCTTGGTTGTACCCTTGTTGATAAAATAAATAGATTTGGGGTCTATCAGCTTACCTAAAAATGGCATGTGACGAACTGGATCGATCATAAATAACCCACATAATCCATACATAATGAGTTTCAACATATAAATAAAGTCAACCCAAACAAAGATTAAGATTCTACGATTTCATGCTTAATAATGTCTCTTCATCCAAGCTCACTTAGTTCTCTCCCAGTGCTTCCTTGATATCAGCCTGCATCACACACATGCAACAGCCTCATTTCCACTGATAAACAGATTGGTATAGATGTTGAACAGCTATTGAGAAAATACCTCAATTGACAGGGGAGTAGTGGTTGTGCCATAGCGTTTGATGGCACGACCTTCTTTGTCAACTAAGAACTTGGTAAAATTCCACTTTATTCTTGACCCCAAAAATCCAGTTTTACTAGCTTTAAGGAACTTATAAACCGGTGCCGTATCAGGGCCATTCACACTTACCTGAAAACAAAAGATGGGTTGATTTGAACTCAGAATTAATAGTTTAAAGATTTAATAATTCTCTCATTTGGATGAAGGTGACCAACGAAACCCTGCAGCATCATGCACTGATAAGTTTTGAAGTGCAGCATGGTATATTACATGGAGTTCAGCTGGTTGCACCACAGACACAGACTGAGTCCTCTTGTTTTTTTCTGTTCCTAATGAAACATCAAGCTTTCATTGATAAATGAAAGTGGCACAGACAGAATCTCTTCAAGAAAGGCAGTAATAGGAGAATCTTTTTTTCTTTTTCCTTGTGAGAACAAGGTTTTCAAGAGGAGGGTGCCACAAGGCAAACCCAGTAGGTCAATCTTAATAACTCACCTTTTAAGGGCTCCAAAACGAAAAGAAATGAATGAGAGAATATCCAAGATCTGGAGTTAACCATGACCATACTTGAATAAGGTATGTCCTTGAGTTCAAATATCTGGAATTTACCTTCCTGCATGTGAGCTGGCTACCTCACCAATGAGTGGACTTGACCCAGATAGAGGATGGATTAGTGGGATTATGAGTAGCATACATCTAACCTTTTCTGTCTTTAACTATAAACAGAAAAGGTTTACACATTCTGAGAATCATTTCAGACAGACATGAAAAGGAGTAGAGACAGCAAGAAGCAAGTTAGTTAAAATAGTTAATACTAGGTCAACGCTCACGATGAAAGACAGTTGGACAGGAAAAGAAATTTGGTGTTTCAACTTTGAGATTATAAAATTGAAACTTCAAAGTTGTAGTAGACATGAAATTGTAATTAATTTTAAAAATTTGCTTTCCAAAGATGAAAAAAACTAAATAGATTTCAAATTAAGAAGCATAGGTTACCTTCTGGAATATTGGATACTCAGCTTTGAATCTTGTACAGGCAAATTCCTGTGCCTCCTGGCTCGATCCAGGTTCCTGACTCAAAAACTGATTACATGGGAAGGCCAAGATCTCTAACCCTGGAAATCAGCACACAGGTAGAGTTAGCGAAGTAAAGAAGCTAATTGACCAAACTAAAACAAGGAATCTTCATTAATCCATCCTTGCACAAACTAATGTTGTTATAAGCAAAGAAAAGCGCATACCTCTTTCCTTGTATTTGCTGTAAAGTTGGGTGAGCTGGGTGTAATTTGAATCTGTGTAACCACTGCCCAAACCATTCAAATTTCTCCAGGAATAAGAATCCCTGGAATTCAAGTAACCAAGAGAAGCGAGGTACAGAGCAAAAGAAAACCAACCATTTGGAAGCAACATTTACGACAAGAACCACCTTTCCCCGGTAGATGCTTAGATCCACATCTTCTCCTTTCGCATCCTTCACCATGCCAAATAACTCAATTCCTTCACTTTCCACTTCCAACTCTTTCAAAAACAAGGCAAAACTACGAGAACTTACCTTCACCACAAATTCATGAATGGACTTCTCAGACACTGATTGAGAAGCGCCCATTTCTTCTTTCTTTTCTTCTGCTTATGCGTATCCTCTTCTGTTCTTCTTCTTCTCTGGCAGGGGATGTGTGTATTGATATTTATGTATACCATATTTCTTCATTTAAAGAAAATTAGTATAATATTTAAAAAATAAAAAAATAATAAAAAAAATTAAGCCAGAAAATTTAAATCAATAAAAACTTTAAACTAACATCGGTAACCCAACACTTGTATATTTTAAAATTTTGGTGGGTATCCGTCTCAAACACATCTCTTAACTAATCCATTATTGATGATATCATATTACTATTGTTGTCCTTTCACCGCCTATCTTCTTCGCAATGAAAAACCCATTTATAATAAATAATCCAACTTGTTGGTTAAGTAGCATTGATGTTCCTATCAGGTGGTTGTAAATGGAGCAGAAGAAATTAAAAGGAGCTGAACTATGCATTTGACTAAATTTCTTTTTTCAGAAAAAAAGAAAAAAGAAAAAAGAAAAAAGAAGAAAGAAAAGCTGAATCCATCCATGAAGGATGGTGGTCCGTCCATATTTGAGATAGATGGGTGTTACGGATGAGCTCAAAGACTAGTCTCCATCACTGTGTATGCCTTAATGTCCTCCACTATCAATAGGGTCTTCCCGTTCCTCCAATAATTTACAAAGGATCAACAACTTTGTCTTTTTCTCCCAACTTAACTTGAGAGCCTCCAATAGTGTTTCGAAAATCGTAAGCTGCCATCATTGTTGTGTCACTTGTGCTGCCACTGAACTAAGCAAAAAGAAAGAGTAGTAGTAGTAGAGAGTTGGTTGACTGGTTAGAGTTTTGTATAAAACTGAAATCAGTGGCAAACACAGAAACAGTGATTTGAGTTGGTTCAAAATTAACAACCGCCTTTGAAAACTGAAAAATATCTGCATCCCTTTATATTCACGCTCCAGACAAGATTCCCCACCATATTTTGTAATGTGGTCCATGCCATGTGTCCCCTCCATTTTTCCTTCCACGTGGCTCTCCTCTCCACTCCACTCATCAAAGTTTCTAGATGCTGCCACATGTCGATCTAGCAGGCACGTGTCTGGGAGTGAATTGAAAATGGGAATCCTTGCAACAGTATAACCTACCGGAACCCAACCGAATAATGTTTTAAACTTGAAGAGAGAGGGAGGTGAAAGGGGAATTTGGGCATGATGAGAATGAGCACGGAGGACATGAGCTCAGATTTGAGTAGGCAATATGATGATGCGAGGGGCGGACGTGGAGAGAGGAGAGGAGTGCCACGCCTCTGAACAACACCAACCAACTTATTTGGGGAAGGATAGATTTTGGTGGTAGTGGAAGTGGAAGGACTCGTGTCCAACGTTTTGATAAAACAAAAGGACGCGCAAATCTGCAGATATTTTTTTTTTGCCTTTGCAACCCGGAGAGGCGGAAATGGATTTCCTATTTCCCAATAATATTTTAATTGGACACGTGGTCTTCTCTCCTCAACTGCTGACGCTTCCTCTGGATTCTCTTCTCAATTCCACCAATCACATCCCCACGCGTGTCCTCTCCTCCAATTGGTTCCCCACACGTTCCCTCAGGATCGCAGGCTATAATAAAGTGACCAATCACCAAAGGGACACGTGTCTGATTTGAGTGTTCTAGACCCGTAGTAGACTTCAGACATATATTGGAGTGGGTTCTTGTCTTTCGCAATTGGCATTGGCCACATTTTTCTTTTCCCCCAAAACTGAATAAAAATGAACGCCAACAGCAACAGGAGGGTCAGACCCTCTCCGTCGCCTCAGGGCTCCGACTCCAACGACTCTGGTATCCTCAACGAGCGCATACTTCTCCTCGTATTTCAAACAATCAAGTGGGACTTACAGACGCTTTGCATCACCGCCTCCCTCAATTGTAAACTTCGAGCCATAGCCGACAGACTGCTCTGGCGCCAGCTCTGTCTCAATCGAGCTCCCCGAATGGTGGCCACATTGACCACCGGGGCTCCCAATGCCCGCGTCGGCGGTGGATGGAACGCGCTCGCCAAGCTAATGTTCTTCTGCTGCGGCTGCCAGTCCAGCCGCCATTTCAGGGTCGCCCAGCCCCTGCCCGGACATTTCGTCCACGAGTCTCGCTTCTCCAAAACCTCAGGCCGAAGCTTTCTCACCAAGAAATGTCGAGGAGACTTGCTGTACGTGAGCGATCCCTGTGAGCATTCCAACGGGAGCGACGAGGATGATTTGGGGATCTACAGAGGGGTATTTCGGGGATTTATGAGATCGAAGACTAGGGCATTCTTGATCAGACGGCAAGTGAGGTTGGAAGAGAGGACCAGATGCCCATATTGTGGGGCTCGGGTGTGGAGTATGACATCCGCTCGACTCGTACCCAAAAGCGCGGCTAGGCGGCTTGGGACGCATGATGGAGGCCTCGAATATTTCGTGTGCGTGAACGGCCATTTGCATGGCTCTTGTTGGCTCGTTCCTCTATCGTCGGAGGAAGACAGGGCTAACAACGAGGAAGAGGAAGAGGAAGAGGAAGAAGAAGAAGAAGAAGAAGAAGAAGAAGAAGAAGAGGAGGAGGAGGCGGCGGCGGAGTGTGACAGAGAAGTTCGTGAGATTGGGTTTGAAGACCGGACGGTGACAGATGAAAGCGCGAGCTCCACGGGGGAGGAGATAGTAGATAGTCGCGGAGAGGTCCGCGTCCACACCACAGATTAGAATGGGATTTGCATTTGGGCAGTTGGTAGGCCAAAGCAAAGCGGAGAAGCCGATCAAAAAAAGTTAGAAACTGATGTAGAAAATAGGAGGGGGGCTAAGGTATAAGCAGTAAGGGTGAAGACAGGCAGGCTCGAGGAAGCATGGTGTTGGCTGTTTGGTTTTGGTACGACGCTCAGTGGTCTCCCTTGCAACTTACAATTCTGTTTCCAACACCAGCGATTACGAGTATTCTAATCACAATCACTTTTCTTTATCTTTTTAAATTAGAGTAGCTTGGACTTTTGCCATTTATATTCTTTTTTTCTCATTTCATTACAATGCCCAGTGAGCCGGGGCTTTCCAACCCATCCTCCGCTAATTTTCTCTTCTCAAACACACGTGCCTTATTGCTTGAAAATAATCATCACAAATCAGGGCTACTTGTATTAATATCTACACCAGAACCAGGTTGTTTCAATATAAATTTAAATTTTGTGTTCCTGTTTCAACGTCAATTCATTTTAAGACAACGATATGGTTAAAGTTCGACTAGGTTTATTAGAAACATTCTTAAAAACCAAACGTGGACGTGGATACTTGAATATATTGGGGCAACCTAAAATTCTTCTCTTTTCCACTAAAATCCTACGCCCATTTCATTCCTATGCCTACCCTACCACTCTAAATTCATAGCCAACTCTAGCAGCGTTTCTACCAACCTTACCGTCCGTTGTTTCTCCTGTTGTTTCAACCTGCTTGCCACCGATTCCGCGTCAAAACCATCTGCATTTGCATTTTGCACTTCACTCTGATCCGCCCTGACTTCTTGTAGCAATTCATCAACCTCTCTGACGAAGTCTACTCTCAACAGTGTATTATCAGCTTCAACTTCAAGTGATGGCCGTAACTGCCCTTGATGCTAATCATTAAGAGAAGATATAATAAAAGCAGACTCAGTTTAGACATTCCTTAAATTTTATCATCTACATCTCGTTGGAAACCAATTGAGCTATCATATTTACACTAGTATACCTTATCGATGTCGAATCCAGCTGGAACGAGAATGCTAAATGGATCCTCCCGCGGGAAGGTATCAATCATGCATTTTCTGCAGTCTTTTAGCCATCCTTCATCGTTGAAGTTGTCATACATATTCAGAAGATCGTTGAGAAGTCTCATGGCAGGACTAGCCTCTCGTTTGAGAATTTCAGTCTAAAATATTGAGGAAACTTAGAACATGAATTACTAGGAGAATACACATTCTTGCTTTTTCCAGAATAAAATTGAAGGAAAAGAAAAAAGTAATGCTGGTGTAAAGATTAGTGAGTTGACTTGAATAGAAAAGTGCCGCAAGTTACAACCTGTAACTAAAAACCATTTCACTGGTAAGACAGGATCTAAAATGGATTGTGTAAAAAAAATGGACGGAGTGATAAAAACACCTAAAAGATTAAAACAAAATGTTTCAGTAAATCACGAGCACAAGACCCTATTACAACTGCTATAGATAGATAAATTTAAGAATGATCCTTGGGGACAAGTTAAGAACCTTTTCCTTGACCTACAATTGCAAAACTTGCATGTAGGTGTGTGGATTTGAATGAGTGTTCTCTAAGCTCGTAATCAATATGGCATATTTAAAACAGTTTTGAACATGTTCATACCTCAACCCTTCGATATAGCAGATCAAGACTTCTAATTGCATCCTTTTCATCCTGAAGAAAGAGCCAATTACAAGTAAGCACATACAACTAGGCAACCTACAAAATATACAAAGTGAATGAAAATTAAAGGAATTTGAAGACTAATATACATCACGACGTGCTAAATCAAGTCGATTCCATATGACTAATAGAACAAGCTCTGTTAGTTCCCCTTTCTCAGCAGCTTCCTCAATTTTCTGCATTCCAATTGATAAAATATAGTATCAGAAAGTCAATAAGCCAGTTCTGCAATAATTTAATAGTCAGAAGCTTTATGTGAAAAATGGTACGAAATTAGACAAATTCAAAGAAAAATCACCATGAATACTACCCATGAATAGAACACTATAATCATACCTAAGAAGAATATACTAAGAAAAAACCCTAAATATCCTTCATTCGCAAACCATAGCCAAGTCACTGTGCAGGCTCTAGTAAGCAAACTCTACTTGTTTAGTTGAAAACTCATGGTTTGTGTTTGCTTAAGCTATCTTTTAGTGTATTGTCATAAAAACTTCGCCAAAAGCAAGAACAAGAAAACTTCATGCTGATTCGAAGACAACACCCTACTTTTTGAAAGATCAAGTTAATGATTAATAGTAGCATAATGTTACATCAATCAACCCAAAACTTAAAAACTTAAGCTAATGGGTTATGGTAAATTTAATCTAATATCAATA